GGAATAGTGCTAAACCTCCACTTTCCAGAAGAGTATCAACAGTTGCTCAGGATTCGACTAAGGGGACTTGGGATCTGTTGTAGACATGCAACACAGCACCAGCCTGTGGCTCGAAAGACAGCTTAACCCAATGCTTGAGCAGCACTTAGACCCAGACTGGTTTTTGACTTAACTCTGTTATCTAATTGGGAGTCCTCCATGGGAGGAGGGCTTCTCAAGATAGCACTGCTGCTCCTGTTATTACAATAAGCATCCATCAGGCCAATTTGTCAGGTTTAGCTGAAGTTCATTATTTAATTCTCTTGCAATGGTTTGTTGCCCCAATATCACAGCCCCTATGGCAAATACAGGCTCATTTCTGCCCCACAAACAGCAAAGCATTGCAGTGCCAGCCCTTTCACAGCCTCACTAGGATGACCAACCAGTCAAGAAAGCTAAGCTCTCCTTTCACCCCCAAAAATAAGAGAGAACAGTTACCACTGCTCAGAGAAAATGCAAGGGCCAGTGGTTCCAGGATGTCAACTTTCTCGCTTTTAGCATGCAAAATCAATTATAATCACATGTGCAAGTTACTTGCTGACGGGCTCGTCTCCATAGGCCCAGAGCAACAGCAGCACTAACCAGGAATTTCACTGGCAGGCTCTGCAGAGGAAAAGAAATCAACTGCAAAGGCTGGACCTTTATCAGCATTGATCCTGTAATTAACTATTTACTTTGAGGGCTTGGCAGGGTCCTATACCCAGCTCAAAGTTATACTCTTTCTAAAGATATTTTCCTTACAAACCCAATTCCCTCTCCATTTTTTAAACTCAGCATTTTTTCTACTGTTTTATACACCTCGTAGCTTCTTCACTTTGTTTTTTCCTCTACGTTTTTCTCAGTTTGGACATCGAGGCCTCACAAACATTGCTGCTTGCATTTCAGGTCATCTCTTAGGTAGGTCGCATGAGCCCGCAGTGCCCGAGCCCAGCGCTCCGTGTGCCGCTACTGCTGGATGATGCTCATCTGCCCAAAGGAAAGGACGCTTCCCACAGCCGCACTGCAACTCCTCCCGCTAGATTTACAACTTGGAAAAAAAACATGTTTATGCAAAATCTGAGCTCGGGAGCTGTTCTTAATCTGTCAGCACCTTTTTAAGAGGAATCCAGGAAGTGCTGGGCATTCATATACAAATTAGAACTGCCGGGTACTTTTCCCTTCCTTGTTTCTGACCTGTGCACTGAGCTGTCAGAGTGGACTATAGGTTGGGCCCGCATGCAGCTGACCGGCCAAAATTTCCCCTCACCTGCCCAGGGCAGGAATCAGGGTCTGGCAGATGGGAAGTGTCAGCCGCACGTTATCAGGGGCTAGGTCCGGTGAAGGGCCAGCAAGGTTCAAGAAATCCTTGTAATGATGCCAGGAGGTCACAGTGAATCACGTCTCACTGAGCTGCATGGCTCTGATTCCTGACTCTCCGGTGTGCTGTACCTTTGGGGAGCACAGCCCCTGCTTTGGGGAGCGTGTTCCTGCTGCCTCAACACTGGCTTTGCCTCTCCCTTCCCTGCAGCACCAAAAAATCTTCCCCATTGCAAACAATTATGTGTAGAGGTGTATCTGCCACCTTTATTTTACTATCACTAGTAGGCTACAAGCTGAAACTGCTGCTTTGGTTGTCACTACTACCTTCTGCAGACCTCAGCAGCAAGCGTTGAAAATCGCTGCTTGCAAATAATGGACTTTGTTTTTCTCTTAGTCAGTCCCAAGGAGATGAGCACGGAGCCAAAGCAAGGGATTTACTGTCACTCTCTGTTGTGCTGGCTGCTGCAGCTCCAAGATAAAACACATTGGCATGGGCCCCAAGATCAAAAGGCTGCAAGTTTGGAAGAGTTTTATCTTGGCCGCTATCCTGCTCATTGGTTGAAATTGGAGGATGCTCCCTTTAAAAGCAATTTCTATCCGCTTTCAGTCATAGGTTTCATGATGGCTGGAGCAGCTGGAATTCACAGGGAAGAGGCAGGCACGTAAGCAGATATCCAGATGCACCAGATATCTGGTGCAGAGCAACAGGGGCCACCTGGGCTGCCATTCAGGGAGCTGCTGCTTGGGCTGCTCACATGGAGCCAGCGGTGGCCAAGTGACTTCCAGCTGCTGCACAAAAAACTGCCAGGCCTGGCTTTGCCAGCACTGGGAACACAAGCCCAGCTTCTGGCACAGTACCAAAAGAGGGGACATTGCCCCATGGTGACACTGGGGGTCCCAAGAGCCACCCGCAGGTCTGAGATGTCTCAAGCTCTGACGTCTGTCCAGATCAGAGATTACACACGATTCCCTCGGCGAAAAGACGGGTTGTGCAACACTGAAACAAACTTTACTGCAGAATCAGGCTTAACTGTGCCTCATAGCACACTGGCGCAGTGCTTCCAGGCCTTCAGTGCTTTAGAAAAATAAAAATTAAAAAAAAAGTGGGTTTGGCAAGTAAAAAAAATAACGGTGCGAGTCAGTTCCAAAAGCCATTTAACAATGTGCTTTTGGAGTTTCCGAAACAGAGGGGCCACAAGTGGGCAGCAGCAAAGCGAGGGATGAAAAGACCCATTTGTCCTCTCAAGCTGGGCTGTTGGTGCGAGGCAGAAAAACAGGGTTTCTAAACCTCTTGGAAATGTTATTTTGTCTTGTGTCAGGACAGTTCCTAGCCCAAATGGGCTTGGACAAAAGAAATAAAAGTTACAAAGCCCCAGGCATCCCTCAGTCAGGAAAAGTGCATGAAGATATTGAGGTGTTTTCTGGAGTAAGAGAATTGAGGAAGGTTCATGGGGAAGCCAAAAGAACCAGAGCCAGACCCTGCCAGGAGCAAGGAAAGTGCCCAAGGGCTCTCCAGCATCTGCTAATGCGTGGGACAACAGGTCAGCTCTGGCCTCAGAGAGCAGGATGTCACCTCTGAGGTGAACATTTTTGTCAAAGTGAGAAGAAATGAGCAACGGAGGGGCCACTGGGCTTGAAGATGAACCAAAGAACTGGAAGGCAGAGGTGGAAGCTTGGCCAAAGGCAATGAGAGCCTGCAGATTTCCCAGAAAGGGCTCAGACAAGTTGTCGGCAGAGCTACAGTCCGCTGGGACCGGAGCTGGACGGTATCCAGGCATCCCGGGTAAGGCCCAGATGTGGCACCACTCTTCTGGAAGGAAATGGAGGATTGGAAGGTGCCCCAGCCCCCAGAGCCCAACTGGTGAGACAATTCCTCAGAAAAACACGAGCCAGAGGGAAAGCTGCAGCAACCTAGAGCGAGAGGTGCAGAAAGGAATGAAGATGCTGAAAAATCACCTTGAGAAGAGGCTTCCAGGCCACTCTGGAAGGCAGCCTTCACCTGGGACAAGGCCAGAGAACTTGGCACTTCTCAATCTTCTTCGGAGCCCACTGAGGTCCATACAAACAAAGAAAATATTGAACAGCTCAATTTGTCAATTGGACAGCCTCCTCGTCCCTCACCTTCAAGAGGAAAATGGGTCAGGCAGCTTTCTGGCTGGCTTCATCATCACAGTCCCCGTGTCTGCTGAGCATCCACGTGGGTCACCACATTATCCTGAATGGCCATTTCTCAATGGAGCTGCAGAATTTACCCTCTGAGAAAGAGGACAGGGCACAGCAGGGCAAGCATTTTGGGCTGGTTTCTCTGCCTGGATGCATTGCTAGACTTTGAACAGACAGCTGACTATCTGAGCCCAAACCAAAGCTGATGCAAAACCAGGTGATTTGCCTTGGGCACACCGTTGCCAAAAGGGGGAAAAGCCACGGGCAGACAGATCCTGCTGAGCCAGACAGTGGCCCAGGGTCTCACAGAACTGCTGATGCTGGCACGAGTGCTCCTAAGACACAGGGTTCAATGGGTTTGCACAATCACTGGGGAGATGGGGTGAGAGGGGAAACCCATCTCAGTGGACACCTGATTGCAGCTGAGCATTTCAGCAGTGGAAAAGGCTCTTGTCCCCATGCCTGATTCATCCTCTTGGGGCTGCAACATCCCTCCTCATATCATATGCAGGTTTCCAATTTGGAAGCAGCGTTGGAACAAGAACACAAAAGGCATTCAAGGCGGATGGCTTAAGCTGGCACAAAGCTGTGTCCAGCAGAGTGAGGTTACTGCTCTGCCGAAAAGAAACTTTTGTCAGAACCTCAGAGCATTCCTGACCCCTTTTGTCCTAGGGAAAAGTCTGGGGTCAGGATACACCTTAGAGCACTTAGGGTGGAAACCTGGAGTAAGCAGCAGTGAAGAACTGGGTAAGGGATCACAGACCTGCAACGACACAGCCCACAGTCCAAAGGCAGCAACGTGTTTCTTCAGGCAGCTCATCTGCAAATTCTGCCCTCGAGGAGACAGACCAGAGGGAAATTGCTGTCCCAGGGGAACGACACACTGAAGGAGAGGTGACTGTCCCACCAGAGCAGGGAATGGGGCTGCGGGGATGGAAGCCACAGAAGTTGTAGTAGGGGGTCACCTCACTTCCCATTAGGAGAAAATAGGCAAAGTCTAAGCCAGACGACCACTGAGACTTAGATGACAGTGAAACTGGGATAGAGATGGACAAAGAGAGATGCTGGTAGAACATGGGATCCAAATGTAAGCAGACAAACATGAGCAAGCTTCATTTCCTCACCTCTGTCTAACACTCATACCTCAGCACGAGAGTTTCACCATTGCTGCTCAGCAGGCAGCAGACACCTCTGGGAGGGAGATGGGCAGGAGAGTTGCACACAAGAAATGAATCTATAGGAATGAATGACTTACCGGGACCACCAGCCCCAGGAGAGGCCGTCACCAGCCAAGCTATGTGCAAAGGACTTTCCTAGGGGCTGAAGGATCCTTGGGAAATGGGGAATCATTTAGCAAGAGCAGCATTCAAAACTAGCAAGAGAAAGTAGCCAAAAACCAAAGTGACAGTGAGACTATTGTTGGCAGTGTTGCTTTGAGGGAAAGCTCTTTAAAGGAGTGCTTTTTGGGAAGGATGCTGGCTGCAAAGAGGCTTGGGACCATGAGCGTTTTGAGCATGACCCACTCAGCACTGCAGGAAACAGCCTTTTCTTCTCTTGCAAAAGAGGGCTGCCTCTCAGAGACAGCCAACCCTTCACTGATGCCTCCAACCAGAAACAGCCCATGAGCCCCATGCAGACTGCTTGGCTCCGATGGGCACCTCCATCCCATGCTGAGGTGGAAAGTTCTGCATCCTGCCATGGGATATAAGAGGGGGCTGAACCCTGGGAACCAACAGAGGCAATTGGCAAGTCCTGGGACATTATCACACCTGAGAGCATTTTGCAGGGGCGTCATCTTCAGAGTTACCACTCGAGCACATCTGCAGCTAGTTTTAAGGCGAGAGGCCTCCGAATTGATGGCAGATATAGACCGTAGCCTGCTGTGTTAAGTGAACCTTATTCCATTTGCAAAACAGCAGGAGCTGCACGCGCTGCGCTCGGCTGTCTGCCGGCCACGTCTGTGCAGTCAGGCTGCGTCGGATGCATCTGACTCACTTCTTGCATCAGACCTACAAGAAAATGAGTCAGACATAATCTTAAATACTCCAGTCAGTCTCGTAAGCCTCCCTAGGTCTCCTGCCCAAATTCATCTCCATTTGGTGATTTTTTCAGGACTTGGACTTGAGACTCATTCAAAGCGTGTGGGGGAGTGGAAAATGACAATAATTATCAAAGATGTTAGCAAAATAAAAAGCACTAGAGGGATATGTACCAAAAGGAGTGGAGGAGTTTGCACTGGGAGATTGGTTGTTACCTTTGCTGCTCTTGGCCCATGGAAGCCAAAGCGTGTGGCGTTTAGGTGGGCAGTGCTGGTGCGCCGGGAAGTGTCGCAGAACAAACCTCAGCAAGGACTGCCAGACTCGGACGGACTTGGTGGGACACCAGGAAATCAGGATCTGGGTCTAATAGGGAGGGGGGAAACGGGAGGTGTGGGAAAGAGAGAAGGAAAAGGAGCCTGGGGTGACTTGTGTGCGAGGCAGCAGGAAAGGAAGGGGACTTGGAGTTGCACTGAAGGAGATCCTGCCTGGTCCAACAGACTGGCTGGGGACAGAGGTAGGGAAAACAGGGAACAACACGAGTTTCATTACTCAGATGGCGCCTTTGCCTCATCTCCTAGGGAGGAATCGGAGAGGAGGACAAGACTGAGGAGCTGCCAACCTGGAACAGACCAGCGGTGCCTGCAGTCGCGCACCCGGCTTCCAGCAGAGGCCAAATTTGGATGGTTTAGAGGAAAATCTTCGATAGCATCCCAATTCCAGGAAGAGTGCAATACATGGCCTGTTTGCTCATGTTGGGACAGCTACAGAACCTCAGCAGGGCAGACATGCTATTTATAAGCATATCAGATGTCGGCTAAGCTCTTTGCACTTTCTATAGACCATACATCAAGTGTAATGAGAAGGAACACCGGCTTGAGAGAAACAAATGAGCACAGGTTAAAGAAGAGGTGTCTCCTCAATACAATACATACGGCAAAGAACAGCAGCTGGCCCATGCCCAGAGCTGCTTACAGGGCCTCTGAAAGCCAAGCAAGATCACTTTACTAACAACCCCGTGAGAAGGAAGGGCTGAGAACGCTGGGTTTGATGGTTCTGCACTGTTAGAGGATTGTTTGCTCCTGAAAAAGGAATCCAAACCTCTTCATGGATGTTTCATTATGCCGTCTTCCAAGAACGTGCTGTGCACAATGAAATAAGCCAATTAAAGGGTTAATTCTCTTTTTTTCTCCTTTCACCAAACCTACTACAAGAGAGCTAGAATATAGCTTTTAGACATAAAAGATGATATTTGTTCCAATCAATGTTCCAGCTAGCATCTGTTCTTTCTAATTAGTTGAAGTCTGGTTTTGTCTCGAGACAGAACTGCTGAGCAGAAAGGTGCTGGATTTCCTTCCTGCTTAGCGGGCTATTCTGATCTCTCTTGCCCTTTAGAAAGTTTCTCTCTGTTACATGGAGGTAAAAGTCTATAGTGCACTGATATTTGGTATATTCCCAATTCAATTGCGTATGCGGTCAGTGCACCGGCTGCAAAACTGTTTTCCACTGTGAGGAAAGCTGATATGGAAGGAGTTTTTACAGATACCTGCCACTCACATATTTGTGCACTACCTCACTTGCTGGTGACTCAGTTCTGTTCTGCAAACAGACCTTTTTGCAGAGCAGATGCAGGAGGGTTCTCCAGCAGCCGTTACCCTTCCTGGTGTGATCCTTCACCCCACCCTTCGCAAGAAGACCTTTGAGGACCTGCGTGTTTCAGTTCCATCCAGATGAATAATTTACAAGGCACGGCTGTTGGAATAAACACGCCCGCCCGCTCTGCCCGAGCGCTCAACTGCTTGTCTTAAATTTCCCTCACTTTGCTAAAACCTCCAGCTCTCCACAGCTTAGGCTGCATTCAAAGGCCTTTAAAGGAGAGGCCTGCAAGGGAGAGCAGGGTGGCACAGCCCAGCAGCAAACAGCACTCGCAGCAAGAATCGCCCTTATCTCCGAGCAGGGCACTGACCTGCTGTACAAACTCTAGGTAGGAAAGCCACTGGCGAAGCAACCTCGGGTGTAATATTTACCCAAAAGGAGACATTTCACTGGCAAACAAGCCACAGGATCTGTTGACATCCTCATGTGGAGGACAGCGCGCATTCATGCAGGTGCAGGCAGAGGAATAGCAACAGGATGTGGAAACTTCCCAGCATTTCCAAGTAGCAAAGCTGTCATTGCGTGAGGAACGTGCTTGTGCTGTCCGTCCCTCTGTCTAAACAGCTACGAGTAGTGGATTTAAGGCTTGTCCTGACAGAGTCCTGCTGCGCAGCACCAGCAGTCACTTAGCTTCTCAGTTCTGTATGTAAAACAGGCTGCAAATACATGGATCCCGTGAGAAACAAGCAATCCAGCAACAAGCATTCCCGAGTCACTGCAGTAAGCACCCAGCGATGCCTCATTCTCTGGCAAGGGAAGGTGGATCCCATGGGCTACCTTGTGAATAGAAGCCACAGTTTTGGATCACCGGTAGCAGCTCCTGTCAAAGCTTCTCTGCCTTTTCTCCAGGCAGGGCTGAAACCAGTCAGGTACAAAGTGAATATCATGTCATTTTTATCTTTAACCCTTTGTCCATGAGCAGAAAGAGTCTGGAGCCATAAAACGTGTGCTCTCTTTTGGGATTGGACTAGATGATCCCCGAGGTCCCTTCCAACCTTCAGCATTCTATGACTCTATGATTCTTTTGCATGGCCCATGACTTCATTTTATGAAACCTTTCTGGTCAGATCCATAAACTTCTGTTGAAGGCAATCTGTGCAGACCTTGCTGGACCACCCTGTTTATCAACCGTGAGGCTGCAGTTTCTGTATCTCACCAAGATGATCCACACACAGGTTGTTACTAGGGGGGCAATGCCACCTTCCCCCACCTGTGTGACAGCTTCTTCCTCAAGCCATTCCTGTGAGCACGATAGAAAGGATCTTTACTGCAGGCAGGGTAATTTCAGCTGGATCAGCTTCCATTCAGTGACAGCAGCTGCAGTGTTGCCACAAAGCCAGGGCCAGGAAAAACCTGGAACTGTGTCATTAAGAGCTTGCTGTAAAATCATGTAGTTGCAAACTCTGGGTCATTTGTCTCCAGAAATAGTGTGAATTTATAGCCACAGTTAGGAAATTCTCCTGGGCTTCAACATGGTGGCTCTCTTTCCAATATGCCAAATGCAAACCCCTGTGCCTCAAATGCACTTAGCTCTGAGGGAAGTCTGGAACTGGTTATGGCTTTTCAGTTTGGATCAGCTCTAAATGGTTATTCATAGGTGGCTGTGAAAATGCATCCATATCATATATTTACACCCTTATGGAAACAAGTCATTGGCGCTACCTGGGAACCCAGTCTCAGGTTCTCAGAGCCAACCTCCCATTGCCTGCAGAGTCTGTACAATCATGGGCAAGGTTTTCAAAACGGAGCAAGGCAAGGCCTTGAGCAACCTGATCTCACTTTGAAATGAGCAGGAAGTTAGACCAGAGACCTCCAGACGTCCCTCCCAACCCGTATTACTCTATAATAATCATCTTCAGCTGCATTTTTGTCAGGCTCTGCTACACCCCTAAAAGTCACAGATTGTCCGGCTGTCCCTACACTGACTAATCCAGGGCAGAAGTCAGGGAATCTGCATCAAATGACCCTCTGCAGCGTTGGCTGTGCTAGTTCAGGAGCAAGAGCACAGCAGGGAGCTGATCTGCTTCTTTGTAGTCCCAGAGAAGAGCACTGCTTGTAGTCCATGCAGGGAAGGCTCCTCACCGCTGCAGCACACACGGGAATGAGCTTGGTGGTCTCAAAGCAACTGGCCCAGCCTCTCAAGGGTCCCATCACAAAGAAAACACAGAGCATCTTCTCATCATCACCAGTGGATGAGCCAGGTGTTGTTGTTGCTCGTTGTGTCTGGAAACATCATCCTTAAGGTAAAAGTGACACTGAGCAGCAAGAAAAGGAAATGTGGGTCAGGGAACCAAATCCCGGGCTCTGGGAATACAAAGTTGCTGCCATCTCGTGGCTGGCTCTGGCTGTGCAAAGGTCCCATTTTCCAAGCAGGAAAATACATCAAGATAAAAGCTTCTCCTGGAAGTGGACTTCCACTGGAGGGAACAGGGAGTAGATAGCCAGGACAGTGGTTAAACCCTATGGATGCATGGGCATCACAAGCTCCTCCTTCCTGTGTGTAGTCAAGGAAAGGGGGCTGATACCCTTTTGGGATGCTCTGGGCTCTGCAGGCACTGTGCTCACCAGGGAAGGGAAGAGCAAGAGGCCCAGGAAAGAAAAAAACCTGCCGGGCCATTTAATATTTCCAGGCCTTTTTCTGATTGCTATTAGATTTTAGATTACTGATTAGACTTTCCTTTAGACTTTTCTTTCTGTGGTAAATATTGTGACTCACTTTGCAAAAGCTGCAGCAAAATACATAAACGAGACCATTCGAGAATACTTCAGGCCATGGGGCCACGACTGCCCAGTGACCTGTGCAGTATCCCAGGTACACAGGGAGTTTCCTGTAATGATAAGAGTACAAAGGAATAGTTACTTATCTAGGTACTTATTCGGCTTTCATCTCTGGCTGCATTTCTCAATCGGCCATTTCAAAATGTTTTGCCAAAACTAATTAACCCTCACGGCACTTCTGCAAAAGGCATCAGTGTTCCTGCATCATACAAGGAGTGGAGACATCAAATAATCCCACCAAGAAAGAGAGAGCCTTAAGAAATAAACTCATCAAGAAATCCCAGTTCCACTTCCTAACACAACTACTCTCCACAAGCCCCCAAACCACAAGCATCCTTCTGCTGGAAGCACAAGTGGTAATCTGTAAATCTTATCATGCCAGCTGCCTGCTTCAGATGTGAGCCAAGAAAACACTGTCCACACATTTAATGACCTCCAAAAATTTGGTGCCTTGAAGCTATATTTTACAAGGAAATCACTTCCAAAGTGCAGCACTAGTCAGCTGCACAGCCAGTGCCACCAAGCAGACTTTCCCATGATGTGCATGTGACAGCTCTTCCACTCATTAACCAAGCCTGTGGTGGCTAGAAATAGATCCCAGGAGACCTTCTGGTCTTAAAATTTTCTTTGTCCTCAAGGAAACACAAAGCTCACATGGTTTATCCTATGTGGGGTACAAACAAGGACCCAACGCTCTGAAGAGCGGGTCCATTCCCAATAATTCACAGATTACACCTCTGCATCTAAAATAAGTTTCAGGAAGTGTGAAGTCAGGGTAGTGTAGGAGAGCACGATGTATCTGTAATTGCATCATGCAGTGGTGCCAGAGATCATGCCAAGCAGAGCTATAAAGCTGCACAACTCTTCTAGGTTTTCCTTACATATTTCCATGAGTGCTCCATGTTACCACTGCTTCAGATCTGCCATTCTGTAGTAGTAAACCTCTGTCTCTGAACAACGACCATCTGATACTCTGCCTTTAGAAAAATGCATCTAAAGCGCAATTTATTCCTGATTTTTTTTTTTTTTTTTTTTTTTTTTTGCAATCATTCTTTGCCTTGTTTTTGATACATATTCCCCAGTACACTTGGGAAATTTCCCAAAACATACTAAAGATAGCACCGTGTTTTTCTGCATCACTGCTAAAAGTTAAAGCATTCATGTGCAAAATAAAGAGAAATTTCTTCATAAGCATTTTCCCTTCTGTTGCCTGAACCCAGTCTCTTGAGAATGTGCAATTATGGAAAAGAACTCGAACAATCAAGTGGGAGTTTGCACTCAGGAAAATCATGCTACTTATTGTGTGACTTATTCAGATGGAGAAAGCTGCTTGGAAATATATCAGGAAATGAAATAAACTGCTATATCAGCTCAAATGTTATTAATAGACAATCTAAGGAGCCTGAAGAAGAGTATCATCCATTTGAAACTGATTTTCTCTTCTCAGAAACAAGATGGAGAGAATATGTGATTTAGAAATCACATATTAGAAATTAGAAAAATTAGAATTAGAAATCCCTGGAAAACAAACTATGTTTTTCAGCTCATATTTTATCAAACCATTTGTAGAAATGTATGATATTACAGAACATAATATTTAGGTTTCTATAGCACAACTCATTTGGAGAACCTCCAGTAAATCGCAATTCATTCACCCATATCACACACACCTCCAAGCTCTTAGCTATTCAGGTGTTGCAGACAGTGAAAAACAAGGTAGATGACAAAGGAGAGGTCAGTCACAGAGCAACTAAAAATGACAGTTTTACAGTCCTCAGCTCCAGGTCTCATTTCCTCAACTTGCTGCTTTGCTTGCGGAGATGCAATTAAATACCTGAGGCCCACACTATGGGGTACAATGGGTTAAAATAATGAAAAATGATGCCAGAAAGCTATGGAAACCCTTTTCCCATCAATCTCTTTTTGCCTTTCCAGATGGAGGGCTGGTTGTGGTCAGGAGGTGTCCGTGCAGGACGGCACGTGCAGGGCGGCCAGGCCGGTGGTCTGGGATGCCCTCCCACTGCAGCCAGGAGCATCCACGGCAGCTCCAGCCCTTCCACATGGGCTGAGCCGGGTTCTCTCCGGAGCTGTGAAGCCCTTCTCCGCTGTATGAGGTCGGATGGCACCCGGCAACCGGAGGGGTTTCCATGGCAGCACAAACACTAGAAGGACAAAGGAGCCAATGGAGCCGGCTGCACAGAGTGTCCAAGTCCCCTCACCAACCGGGCCGCGTCCCACCAAGGCGGGCAGTGGAGAGGAGCACGGGGAGGTCTCCTTTGGGTGAGAAGCCAAAATTAAAAAATAAAGGGATAAGGGAACACTGCAGCAACTTCTTTTCTGTTTTCAACGCTGAACGGGACTTTTTATTAAGACAAGCGAGGAACTGAGGTGTTTCACTAGGAAATGACATGCACTAATGATTTATTTCTCCGTGTGTGAGTGTGCGTGTCTGGAAATCGGACACATCTGTCCCTAGAATAATTGCACCATAGATCAAAACTCGGAATGATTTCCTTGTGAGCATAATGAGACTGCTCTGCAGATGATGACACTGCTTAAATTATCCCAATGTATAGAACATATGCTTATTCAGTGCTCTGGGAACATGGAGATGGATTTTATTATATTATGCTAAGAATTGTTTGTATGTTTGCTTTAGCTTTTTTTTTTTCTGCACAGCAGCATGATGCTAGCAAAAACACTGGGTAAATATATCAGTAATTAAAACCATGAATGCCTTATCCATTCATTCACATACTACTGGCCATTAGTATGTAGCTACTGAGACATAAAAATGTCAGAGGCAGTGAAATATATGGCAAATGATTCTAGCAAGAAAGCTATTTTTTATCTGCATTATAGCTTTATAGCTATATATGCTTTATGTATCTCTCTATATATAGATCTATATGCTAGATGTGCTTTATAGCTATAGTTAGCAAAACTGGTGCATCTGTAGCCTTTGGCGTTGTTTCCAAAAAATGCAAACAATCTTTTTAAAAAAAAACCTCAAACCAAAAATACCTTAAACAAAAGTCTCCTTTTCTAAGCTAGAACTCAGATATTTCCCGGTTTTGAAGATTTTTTTATTAACTGCTCTGTGGTTAGTTTCAGAAAGGTCACAGGCTGACCACTCTTGTGAAACCTCCTGCATCCCCTCCTGACAAGGCCCTAATTCATTGATTTGTTTATGGTTTTCTTTAGGGCAGGGTCAAAGATGTCATCACCTACGAAGTCAAGCTCTGAAAGCCTCTCTTCCCCTCCGGGAACTGCCTGTGAAACACAGCCTGTGCTGCCAGGTAACGGCATGATGCTCTTGCAGCCCTTTGCTCTTAGTTCTAAGGAGAGGCCTCTGTTCATCCTCCTCTGCCCATGATCAGATGAGACAGGTCCCCAACAGTCTCCACACAACTTCTGCCTGAGGAAAACAGTGAATGAACACTTCAGTAAATGATATTAGAGAAGGGGAAGAGATGCTGTAAGAGAACGAAGCCTTGGGTCTGCCTTCAAAGGCTCCCCAGAGCAGATGCTGATCACTGACTGATCAAAACTCCTATTATTGTCAAGACTCCTGTCCCTGGTAAAACAGATCCAGACTGGTAAAAATCCCAACTTAAAATCCTGAACTGATCAGTAAACATGTTCAAGTAACATAAGCAATACAGAGTTCCAGGTTATAGAGAACTCCTAGCGTTTCTTACACGCCCTCTCCAGCGACCCAATCCTGACTTAGTGCTGCTAGACACCCACAGCCATGACCACAGCTGGACCATGACATTGAATGCAGCAGAACGAGGTTCCTTTGCACTGAGGCTGCTGAGATTCTGCTTTGCAATTTCTACTTTTCATCCATTTCTTGCAGAAAGTTCAGAAGAGGAAGAAGAAGATTCCATGAAAAATCCCTTTACACTCCCTCCAGATATTGATATTTTCTCAATAAGGGACAAGGAAAAAGAAAAGGCTAAGGAGGTATGTATACAAACTTCAGAGTTCATAGATATTTCACAAGTTCTCACCAGGGAAAGCAGCCAACATAAATATTATCAAAAATTATTGCAGAAAAGAAACAGCACCTAACACATTCAGCTGAGAATCCCCCAAAGCAGCTACAAGCCCACTGAAATCCATCATGGGAGAGTAACTTTACCAAGAGCAGACTGGAGCACAGGCTTGTTGGTTGTTAGTGCAAAATCTGTACATTGTCACTGTGGATTTTTCTCTCCTTACTAAAAGGGAGATTTACCACTGTTTCTGCAGGAGATGCCTGAGAGTGCTGCTGTTATTTATAACCACAGATGCTTTAGTGCAAGACCTCTTGCTTTCAGTGCAGCAGGCTTGCCTTTCTGCTTGGAAAGCTGTATTCTAATGACTGATGCACCCTTCTTCTGAACTACCAGCTACATGAATGCTAGGAAGAAGGACTAAATCTGTTTCATGCCTTTCATATCCATTCCTTAATATATAGCAACCCCCCAGACCAGAGAGCTGGGTCTGTGGAATGTCTTTTTCTTCCTCATCTCCATAGGAGACTTTTCTTGGGGTGTGGGATCCAAAGGGGGTGGGAAGCCACAGAGAGAGCAGATCTCTGAGCACTGAGGGGTCTGAGTATTCACACAGCTGCAGAAGGCAGGGAGTAGCATGGAAGAGGCTTCTGTTTCCAAATCACAAAGGCAAGCACTCCAAACATGCTTAGGCAAGGCTCCCTGCCTCACCTAGTGATGACTGGTAGCCTGCTTGGGTTCAAAGTCACCTTAAGAGTATAGGGAAGAGCTTAGAAAGAAAGCGTGCTAGACACGACTGCAGAACGATTTCCTCAGTCTGTCCCATGCCCAAACTGTTGTGACTGGATGCAGGATACTAGCAAAAAAAATGTGAACAAACACTAAGAAAAGAAAGGAGGTGTTTTAATTGCAATGAGAGAAGGCATCACCAGGATTAGTCAGATAAACCAGGCAAACAAGCTCTAGCAAGATACCAGAAGCTTGCAAATTTTTAGACTCTGAATAAACTACTTGTGACATAAAAAACAGCAGCAGACAAAGCTGTTGTGTATAATCTACCCACATTACTGACATCTCTTCATAGGAACGTGAAAGGAGGAAGACCATGAAAATATATGAGAAAATGACCTACTCCACTAAGATAAATGTAAAGCAAAAGATGTTCAGGAAAATGCTCCAGAAAGAGGAAGAAGAAGAAGACAGAAAACAGGCAACAGAAACAGACAGACTGAAAGCTCTTCAGGATAGCCTTTCGTGGAAGACAGCCCTTATGAAAGGTAGAGAACACCAATCATCTTTGTAGCGTTGCTGCTTCACTGGAAGCTAGAGAGTCACCAGCTAGATCGTTCTGGGGAGCTCCTCCTGCCTATGGATGCAGTGGTCATCTGCTACATCTTGCTACTCTGGGTGGGCCCTCTCCATTTCTTGCATTTAAAATATGTGGTGTATTTCATATGCGGAATACTTGATGTGTTTTATTTTGACCATGTTTCTCTGAGCAACTTCATATTCTCATTACAGATCAGCATTTAGAAAGAGAGAGCTTTCGTGACTATGTAAACAACAGGAGACAGATATTTTTGCTTGAGGTACTTGGCTTTCTTTAAGAGTGCTGCTTTCTGTTTATTGCTGTATTGCTTTGCCTCCTCAGGACAGCTATTGCCTAGAGGTTACACTAGGGAGACCTCATGAAATCAGACCTCATGAGGTCCAAGTCCTGTATCAAAGACCCTCACAGCCCATGGCCGTGATCTCCCACCAAGAAAGAGGTGAAACTAAGTAATTTGGTACCACTTAGCCCTCCAACTATTTCCACTTCATTTGCGGGACCAGAGAGATATGGACATTTTGGCCCCTACTCTCCCATATATAATTATACCTGGGAGTCATTCTGAAGCCAACATTAGGGATCCCTCTTGCCATATCCCCATTATTCACCTCTATTGTAGCACCTTTGTGCTGCAGCACAACTGAATCAACCATTATCATTCAGTATTTAAGGCAGTACTGCAATTCCTGGATTTTATCTTTAGTTTCACTGATAACGTCCTGTATTACTTCCAAAATATCTCCTGGCCTCTACCTACCTGCCTTGTACCAAGATCCTAGTTTGAAATCCTCTTACTCTCCGAAAAAAATATAACCAAGAGCAAAGTTAAGCTAGAATAACATTAGAACAAGCCAACCAACCATCCAATCCAATGCTTTTTGGATTCATTTCAGTATACCATGGCAGTAAAGAGGGATGAGATTCAGAGGCTGGAGAACTTAGCGAAGACAGAGGAAAGAAAACTGGAAAAGGCCGAAGACCACCTGGAAAAGGATGCTGTCATGTTTGATGAGTTCCTGAAGGAGAACGACAAAATTTCTGTTCAGGCTCTGAAAATGTAATGGAAACTCAGGGAACCACTTGCATGTTCTTTTGCATTGGATATGGGAGGGTTTTTTGCTGTATCCCTCCCTGGAGGGTTTAAATATCCACTCAGGAAAGCTCTGTAACCAGGATTTTCCCCAGGGAGGCTGTGACCTGCAAGTGTCATTGGGACCACACACTTTCTTTGCTAGCAGGGTCTTCACATACGAGCCAGGTACCACCTGTGGTGCACCTTCATGTATAAGATAGATTTCTGGAGTTCCTTCCACATCTTACCCTCTATTTTACATATATACTCTGCTTTACACACAGTTCACTACCCAGTAGCTGCTGACTTGTTTTTTGGCTTGTGTTTATGCCTTCTTCCCTAGTGCTGAAAAAGAAACTGCAGCAAAGACAGAGAAAATAATGGAGATCCAAGCGATTACTTCCCAAATCATGAACCTCGAAAGGTAACGTTTGCACACCAAGTACTTTTACTACGTAACCTTTAGCAGCCTGTAGAGCATTATGCCTGCATTTCTCGGTGGGAAAAAGAAAACCAAAAAAAGTGTTCCAAAAATATTCCATTTTAAAAGCATCAGGATGTTTCAACTTCTCTTTTCCAGATGATGGTTTTGTTTCTAAAATGACCTAACTTATTAATGGCATCTATCAGCTGAGAAACAATAACTGATCACGTGCGCATTCCTACCTGCTCTGAAGTAAAATGCAGTTGTTTAGAGAAGGAACTTGGCATTCTTGATGTCTGCTCAGGCTGAGTTCAGACTCAGACCAGGTCACCTGGGGCTCATTGCTTCTACATCAACGATGGCATGGGCCATATTAGTCCCCTGGGGATACCTGGGGAGTACAGGAGCTCTCTGATGGCTTCCCAAAGGTGCAGGGACTGAAATTTCGCTGGGACGTGAGAGTTTCCAGAAGCACTTTTCTGCTGAATGCACTTTTTTACCTCTTCAGCTCATGAACTGACACTATGAGAATCTCACTCCATCGCTGTTTTGCAGCATGGCAAAGCTGCAGATGGCAGCTTGTGACCACTTCTGCTGGGGAGATCTCTGTGCCCTCCTTCTTGGGTGGTTCAGTGGTCAACCCAGAGCTGCAGTGGCCACAGTGATGTGATGAGGCAGCTTCCACATCAGGGAGCACAGAAACCAAGTAGGGCAAGTTCACGGTTGTCTTTGCACATCCATGTGGACACATCCCTTCTTCAAGATGAGTCAGAGAGAGTCAGAAAGAACTTGCTCAAGCTTTCCACCCCATTAACAAACTCTGCATGGCCTGTCCACTTCTCTCACCTCAGTGACATATCCAAATTTGAGGATACTTTGCAGGAGTACAAGAGGTACAGGGACTTCCTCTATCAGCTGTCTCCAAAAGAATGGCAGGAGGAATATGCAAAAAGGCATGCAAGAGAACAGGAGTTGAGAAAAGCTTCCAAAACTAAAGAAGAAAGTGCCTCTCGTCGTGCTACCATGGAGAAGGGTAAGTGCCAGGGGAGATAATCCCGCTCCTTGCTTGGGCAGTCCCACACTCTAAATGCATGTCCCTTCTTCTGTCCAGACCAGGATGTGACCTTCAGGACAAAAGATGCTGATCTATCCAAAACCAGCTATTTAGATATGCAAAGCTCTCTGTCTTCTGGAAGTTCGGATTTCAGGTTATTATGTGAGATCGGGTCGGAGTTCAAAGACATTCTGAAGCCTCTATCAGCAGATAAATTGTAAGTACCAAACAAGGAGGACACAGGTATTATAGAGAACATGTGGCTGAATGGGGGCTAGCAAAGAGGAAACCTCCTCCTCACCTTCTTGGTGAGCTCTCATCTGCTGTTTTGCCTTGAATGAAGGCCTAGGGTCATTGTAGACAAGCACTGCATTGATTCTCAGCTTTCAGTAATGGAGGATTCATCAGTATATGCTGGGATGCAGGCAGAATAACACTGCCATGGCCCTAAGCAGAGCCAGAGAGAGAAGTGGATGGGCAGGTGGGTATATGAAGCAAGTGTTGCCAGCTCCAGCTTTGTGAAGCAAAGCAAACAATTGCCCGGAAAAACAAAGTGTGGGTGGCTGATGATCATACATCTCCTAAGACCAAAAATCCATGGTTAACATGACATTTTGAATTAAGCCATTGCTTGCAGGACCATTCTCTCTGCCTCTCTTTGGAGGGCTGAACTAGGGTGCTGTGAGCAGGGAGTTTTCACCCTTCAAGGGGGCAGGAGCACAGCATGATGAGCAGACTGTGCTGCTGACACCAGCAGGTGCCTCTTCCCTTGCAAGAACAACCAACTTGGCACTGGGGCTGAGCAGGGAAGAGGCTGCACTGCTGGTTAACTCCAGTAGACAAGGCAGAGGAAGGAGCAATCCATTATTTTTCCCACTGTGAATAAAAGCTGCAGACTCCCATAGCGGCCATACCACACCACTTAGGAGCAGTAACATATCCCACATGGAGAACAAGACTTTGCTCCTCCCGAAGAGGACCCAGGCTTGCAAATGTTCAAAGGACCATTCAGGAGCAAACGGCTGACCCACAACAGAGAGGGAGGCTGCTGCCTACCTGGAACTGAATCTAGATATTGCTTGCAGATGTCAGCCTGGTTCTTTGCCGTGTTTATAATGCTCTAACAAGCTCTCCTTTGAGCTATCGTTTCTCTAAGGACCTGACACACAGAATGCCTTTTCAGAAGTTTAGTGGAGGAACAAGAGAGTGAAAGCTGCTCGGACGAGGAGGATGAGGTCAGATGTCTCATACTGAAATACTTATGCACTGTTTGTCCTCTCTTAGTCATTTATTGATGTTACTAATTTATTTCACCGTCTAAAAATTCATTATGAGATTGAGGAGTTACTATAACCACTAGTTATAAATGTATGTTTATGTAGTCATGAGCGTTCATGTTATTAGCAGCATTATAAATGCCTTGACTTAACTTTCTTCCTCCACTTTCCATAAACCTACCATGACTTCAAAGCTTGCAACCCTCCAATAAGATATTACAGGACATAACAAGAGATTTTTCAATTCATAAAGCTGTCATCTTATGTTCAAAACTGACATTTTTCTAAGAGCAACAACAGGTTTTTTTTCACTTATAATAAAAAAAAGTCTTCTGCTAAGCTCTCAAAACAAAAACAACATAAAATAACAACAATAAAAATTATTATAGGTGGTCTCTGCCATACTTCACCCCACGTCCAGCCAACATAAACATCATGAGTTCCAGCTCAAAGTAATCAAAAACGAAAGTTGAGCAGAGAGCAAATACTTGTCTTAAAAGCAGTAAAATAGATCACAAAAATCCTAGTCCTCATCAGTATTCTAAAATAATTATTTTTAAACATTCTTTCACCCAAGAGATGTCATTTACTTCTACCTTTATCCAGATAAGCATGACATTAAAATTTTTTTAAAAACACTTTAACTTGAGAGTTATTTAAAGCTTACATTTTCAGATGCATTTTTTGCAATTGATGCGAATAGCTGATCTTGCACAAACAACCACCCAGCTATCACAAATTAGCTATTTACGCTACTTTATTAGTAGCAGGTTTTTTTCTTTTCCAGTCTGTTGCTTTCTTAGTCTTCTCACAGCTGTTAACAACATGAGAGCAAAAAGAGGATTCAGGAAAAAGGGACGGCTTGACCAAAGCTTCCCCTGAGGGAGGCTGGGAACAAGAAACACAGAGAGCATATAATGCATCAGCAGAAGATACCAAGAGTAGACCGACCTCCATATAGCTCACTGGATAAGAGGCTAGAACAGACTCATCACATGTTTTTCACTCCAGGAGCTGGAATTGTATTTTACTGACCCCCAGCAACTGCTGTCTATTTTCACGGAGCTGGAGGAACAGAACTTATCCCTCATCCAGAATTCCCAAGATGTTGAGGAAACTCTGGATGAGCTCCGACACACTTTAATCACCACATGCAACAGGATGTAAGTCTGATTCTGCAATTCGGTAAGTGACGGAAAGGAGACCCTTGTGATGAATCCTTCAAACACAAGCGATGCCCCCTCAGGTGGCACCTCGCCATCAGGCTGCAGACCATGCATGACGGTCTGCTCAGTGCAGACTCTTCCAAGTGGGAGCTAGCAGGAAATCCAATTGCAATCTAGTATTTCAGATAGTATTTCAATAAAGTGCAGTTTACTACTTGTGAAAGTTTTTGTAAGTAGAGTCTACCTTTCATATAGGTTGAGATAAATGTGAATACTACTGTAGCTACATTGCTTCTAGCTCAGAAAAGTCAGCAGCTGCCTCTGCTCTGAGAGGGTTGGTGTCCCCAAGAAAGGCACGAGGTGCTACCTCCATCTGCCGGCAGCCAGAGGGACAGTCCCAGTCCGTATGGTAGCGAGGAGCCCTGTGTTTCAGAGATGCCCTTTCCAAAAACATGCCTGCCTTCTTCCCTGGACTAGGGACCAGGAGATAGAGCAGCTGAAACAGCTTGCAGCCACTGTCAAATCCTCCATTGCCAAAGAGGAGGAGACTGCAGCAGACCTGAAGCTCAGAGTTCGCATCTTTTCCTTTGGAGAATACAAAGCTGATGTCCAGGTACGCCCCTGCACACAGCAGGGAAAGGGGTCAGCGCAGGAATAAAATAGCCTGTCCCTGTCCACCAGCCATATCCAGCCTGGGAATGGAGGGGACAGCCAGTGAGGGATGAGTCCTCTTTTTCAGCAGCAGGGATGCAGCAGGGGCCTGTTAGAGGTGTTGCTAAAGCAGCAAGCAAGCTCAGCTCCAAATATCAGGGCTAAGCAAACCAGAAAACAAGCCTATCACCTTGTTGGAGATGACTGAAGTGCATTAATCCTGATTTCTTTCGGACAAACAGTGATTTGGGGCAGAGCCAGCTGGTACCTCCTGGTTCTGTCTCACCTGCCTTCTCTTACCTTTAGGACAAAATGCTTGCCAACCTGAACCAGAAGGTGCTGGAAGTCTATCGCAGCTGCATCGGAGAAAACGAGGCAAACCTGGGGACCCTGCAGATGCTAGCGGTGATAGAAAAACAGCTGGATGACTTGCTGGAGTGCCTAGAGAGAATCCCGCCGGCGAAGATAGAACAGGCCGAGAAAGCTAAAGAGAAAGAACGGAGGATAAGGTAAGAGGAGACCCTCCTCCAGAAATAGGGCATCTCTTTTTTAAAAGTTGACACCCAAAAGCAAAGCCACTGAAAGGGACCAATTTGCCAGATCAAACCAGGAAACAGCAACAGAAATATGAAAGCTAATGTACAACTAATACATCCCATTTTACACCCGTAAGTGCTTCATGTTCATAGTACTTGCGTGTCCTGATGAGGAGGCAGCAGCCCACAGTGGTACTAAAAATGACTTGGAAGGTACCTGGGTCCTGAATCGAAGGGCAAAATCTGGAAGGGAAATAAATAAATAAGAAAAACAAACCTCTTGAAGATTCAATAACCATCATATTTTTAGGATGACAATTTGTAGTGACAATATTTAGCCTGATTAAGTAGAAAATTGCACCTGTATAATTTACACACGAGCATCTGACACAGCCAGCTCTTCTGTCAGAAAAGACATTTGAGGGGATTTGTCAACAATGGCAGTTTTTAAATACTTGCTGCTATAGAGCTCTGAGGTTTAACTTTTGCAATTAAATTTTAAAAGTAGCAAATGAATTTAAAAAATTATGTTCTGTGGTCCAACTCAGTAAATGGCTGTTTACTGTTGAATCAGTAAATGAAAGTTCCCCTATGCAAACAGTAAAGCTGCAACTTGACATCCCTTGCTGAATCATGTCCATGCAGCAAGGGAAAAAATACAGTATCATGAGGTTTTGAGTCAGGTCTGTGACATTGCTTCCTACTTGCCCTCCCTCTCTGCCTCCTTTTTTAGGAGCAGGCCTGTGGTGCCTCCTCTCGATGTTCCATGGGTCATTTTGCCTTCTAACTTACAAAAGCAGACAGGCACATTTACCCTAGACTGGAGATGGGAGGGGAGGAATCAGGGAAGGAACGTGAGATAACAAAGGAGGTACTGTGAAAACAACTTAATTCTTCCCTGAAGATCACAATATCATATTTGTTCTTTTAAAAAGGCTCAGAGAGGAAAAGAAAAGACAACAGAAGCTGCTACAGGAGGAAAGATTGCAACGGGCGCTGGCAAGAGCACAGGCAGATATAAAGAAAAAGGTAAGTTTGGCGGTCTCTGGGAATACCCCATATGACAGCTCATTTGGGAGAAAAATGGGTACTTAACCATCAACCATCTAAGGGAAGAGAGTCAGAAGGGCCTCCATAGTCGAGTGATGACACCCACACTCAGGTGTCATCTGATTTACAAGACTGACTAAACTTAAGCAACTCCCTTACTCTGAGTTATGCCGGTTCAGTGTCCTTCCTTCCTCTTTCTCATCCCAGTGTCTTGACCACGTAGTCCTGTCCATTCCTTGCCAATCTTCTTATTAAGCTGATTTCAACTCGTTAATCTATCAGTATTAGAACAAAACGCATTAAAGTCATCCAAGAGGGAATGAGCAGAAGCAGGACACACTCCCTACTCCCTACAACAGCACCAAGCCACTAAATCAGCTCAGCCCACACTATCAAAACATGCCCTTTCTTGTATACCCCATGTTACCCGAACTGAGATGTGACCCCTCAGAGGCAGGACCACCTCAGGCCATGGCTCCTGCTGCTGAGTGAGTGGCTGATGCTTCACAGATCAACCCGATGAGGAGGGTAGCCCAGTTCTCAGTCACACACTGGGCTGGTTGCAGCCTGGGAGAGTGGAAACAGGCACATGAGTCTCTGCTACTTCATCCAAAATAAAGCCTTGCAGGCCCCTCCGATATTTCACCACCCTTTTTTATAAACTATCTTCATTTAGAGCAAATAAGGCTTTAGGTAGGGGTGAGTTGCACACAGTAGTACTTGGTAGAAACTGCAGCAGTAGCATATTCCTGACCTTCAGCCACGTGACACCTATTTAAGAGAAAAAACAAGCTCAGCAGACACACGCAAACCTGCTTAGGAATCAGCCAGCAAGGGCCAGCAAGCAGAGACCTGCAGCCCAAAGCAGCTTTAGCAGCAGCTCTAGCAGTAACTGCTTGGTCCCGTGCACTGCTCACCCCCTGCTCTTGTCTCTGGCAGACTGGCAGGAGGCTGGTGTTCCGCTCGCACCCACCGGTCAAGAAGGAGAAGCAAAAGCAGACCCAAGAGCAAATGGATGAAGAGAAGCAAGAACAGCTCTATTATTTTACTTGATGGGCACAGCCTTAATCACAACACGGAGGGCTGGAAAGGTTTTAGAAAACTGTGTTTTGTATAGGTGCAGTCTGTTAAAGGTCTAAGTCATCTGCTCTGATTACCAGTTCACAGCCCCACAAAATTCCCCAAAATTCCCCAAAACCCTTGGGCATTTTTCCCCCCCCCCTATTTTTCACATAAGAAAATAAATTAAATTCTCCTTTGTTTTGCTTCCCAGGTCCCTGCTCGCAACAAGGCTTTCCTCATTCAGCTTTTGAAGCAAATAGCAGTATCCCTACAAACCTGACTAGTAAGATTTAATGATATTCCTGAGTAACCATCTTTCTTACAGTAAGACTAAGCTAAGCACCTGCCAGACAGTTATTATAAATGTCAAGCCAATGAGTGATTATAAGGAAGAAAACGGTGCCTTAATCCAAAGGAGTGGGAGGGATAGATTTCATTATAGCAAACACCTCACAACTGCTGTGGGGAACAGAAAGGCCAAGGAAAGACAGAAAAAAGAAAAAAAAAAAAAAAGAGAAAAAAAGAAAAAAAAAGTGACAGGCCCTGCAAAGAGCAAGCTGTTGACCATTAGCTTTATGACACATGTATCCAAACCAAAAACATTACCAGTAACAAAGTAACCATAAAAAAAAAAAGCTTTATTAACCCTTTTGCACCAGCAGTTCTTCAGGTATCCATTGCCAGCAATGGACTTCAAAGCCAAGTGATCTGATTTTCGGCCCCAAGAGGTTAGCACTTTACATTCATTTACAAAGCTGAGTGAGGTACATTTTCAGAAGTAGAAAGATTCAGCTGCAAGTCCCATAAAAAGATGGAGTGTTCCTTGGCCATTTTACTAGACTAAGAACTGGTATGGTCCTTGAGAACAGAAATGCAGGCATTGGGAGCTCGAGGAGTCTCTGATGCCCAGGAGATGATGGTGACCACTCGAGTAAGACCCAGCAGTCCCTTCAAGAAGATTCCTCCTCAGCCTTTCTACCTCTCAGGAGTGGACTCCAGCCATCAGATAGAACGTGTCCAGTATAAATTACTTTGGTTTGGAAACCCTTCCTGAGAGGGTAAAGAAATTCCCTGGACTTAAGCTGTAAATTCAGGATGAGAAAGACAGAGATCCTCAGTTACAGATGCTCAGTTACTGAAGTGAAAGATAGAAAAATAAACTGGTTCAACCAGAGAACAAAATACTGCCTACAAATCAGGATCTGAAGTTGACTGTAACCTGGATACTTTTTATCAAGTCTTCAACAAAAGGATTTATCCGGACACATACATAGTTCAAAAGGCACAGGAAGTAAAAGCATTTCTGAATGACCTCGGGTGAATTCAACATCAGTTTAACTGTAAAATAAATAAATATGTGCAAGATTAGAAAGATCACAAATGTTCTCCTGCATGACATATCTTATTTGGTAAAAAATATACACATACGTGCATACACACACACCTCATTTAGAATAAAAAACAGTACATACACCCTCTTATCAAACTCCTATACATAATTTTATAGGCATTCAGTACATCACCATAAGAAACATTTAAATTACTACCTTAAAATGTAACCAAAGAGTTCTTTTCTCCTATATAACCCTATGCTTATTTAGGTGTCTGCAATCCAGGTAAGTACAGTACATACAACCTCCTCCCCACTAGAAACTGCAGTTTCTCAATGGGGCAAATCTTCCTAGGTAACAATTCTTTGCCCCCTCCCAAAATAGTCTAACAACTGCATGTTTTGTAAACCAGCCGGAAGCTCCACGTTCACATGATATTCTGGGATACCAATAAAGAACAAGTATTAACAGTGTTCAATCAAAAAATAACAACAATAATAAAAAAAAAATGGCCAGTTTACAGGTAACTTGGCAGCAGTTGATGTATGAATCTAATCAAGGTGCTTAAATGGAAGTGACCGTCAACATTCCTCCCAAAAAGGGAACACAAAGATAACTAACTTCTCATAGATGCTGTTGGACTCTTAGGTAATCACTTACAGTGAGTACAGTTCTATTGCAGTTTCCTTTTTCAAGTGTTGCTGGAAGAATTCAGCAGACATAGGAGCAAAGAAAGGGAGAAACTCAACATGAGCTACAAACTGATTCCCAGCTAAGATAACATTTAGAATCTAGTTTTCTAAAACAAAGATTTAGGAGCATCTCGTTTTCATGGCATTGGATGTTAATTTTGTTACATCCTATACTTTATTCCTGTTTTCTGCCAACAAATGGGCTGAATTTTTTTGTGTGTGTGTGCGTGTGTAAAATAATTGCAAAATTTGCTCTTAAATCCTCAATGCTACTGGCCCCAATAGGAGACCAACAGAAGGAAAGTTTAAACTATTAGAGTCAGAATTATAAATTTGCATGTTAGCTGTAGAATACTTGCTTTCCTGTGGAAACAGTAAATATTACCTCAGTTTGAAGTTTAATACAGTACTTCTCCCTGAAACAACACTGTACAGCAGCCTGCCTCAGTCTCTCTGACCACCAGGCAGACAGAGTATCTTACACAGGCACATCAAGTAGAATTTACACGTTTTAAGAAAAAGACCTTTCAGGTGTAACTGCCCTTAGCAAACTGAAAAGAGTGCAACCATAATCCAGTACTCCTAGTTTTCATAGTTTCCTTGGAAAAAGACCCACATGGTTATGTCACTCTGTCGAAACATGATTGCCCAATTCGTGTTCAAGTAACTGTTCTTAGTAACGGTCATTCCAGGTCCTGTAAGTTTATTGTGCTTCCAGTGAACTGGGAGTTATCAGAACCTGCATCATCTTCGGTGGAATTGTGTGGCTCCTGTTAAGGCAAACAGAGAGCATGAAGAGTTCAGCGCTTTCACTTCTAGATGCTCTTAATGCTCAGCAATCAGTCTTAATGCTAATCAGCCATTACTTTGAAATTCATCCAAGATCAGAGAAACGTTTTGAACTGAACATCCCCTCCTACTTTGGGGAGCCACTCAAACAGTGCTGCTTCAGTTCTCCTTCGGGCACTTGAGTAGGAGATAAATTAACATCACTGACTATTTGCTTCTCATCTGATAATTCTCTAATATTCTAATATTCTTGTACTTCTAGATTTATTTGAGGAAGGTACTTCCCTAAAACACAGAAAGCTTTACTTCCCATCCAGAAGGAGCACTGCTGCTGAGAATACTGCATTGCAGAGTCTATAAAACACAAAGCCCAAATGGTCAAGTAGAAAATGTGGTCTGCACACACACTAATCTTGCAGTGCTGCTTGGTTCTCAGTTGTTCATACACCCTGACACAGTTTGCTGCAACAGCAGATAAGAGGCATTTACACAAGCAGCAAGGACAGTGAGCTACCTCCATATATGAAACTCGGTATTCAACTACCTCCATATATGAAACTCAGTATTCAAACAACTCAATTTTCAAACAACTGAAGATTCAAACTGAATCTTCTCTGACAGTCAGTAGTTACCAAAGCCAAAAGTTGCAACCAAGTATTTTAGAAGTGCCCCGACTTTTTGATTTTGCCTCTTTTCCCATTTAGATATCTATTTGAAAAATCTATGCTCAAGAATTTATACTGCACTTCCAATACTTCCTGCAGCCTGTTACCTATCAGTTCTGATCCATCTATGATGTGTCAAAGGTGGGTAACATATAAAAGACACATGTAATCTTGGACTGTATTTCTCACAGCTTTTTGTAAGTGAAATTAAATTTCCAATCACAAACAGCATATCTCAATTAGACAGAACTCCCGTGTTCACGGTACACTGTCTTCACTCTCAAGCTGGGCAATAAAAAGCAACAGCTCTGAAATGCTGTACCTGAAGTATGTGAACAGGCAAATCCACTGTAAGCTGAGAATGTGATGAGGAGGACTGAGAGCTCAGTTGAAAGGGCAAATCTCCCTCTCCTGGGGGATCATCCTGTGAAGGCAGAAACACAGTGCAATTATGAGACCCCCAAACATCACTGTAAATTTCACTCCACCTCAGTCTTAACAAAAAATCCGATAAAGCTCCTATACCTTACTAGTAAGGCCTAGATTCAGAGTTATGCAGAAAGTTAACCACCAGTTATACCTCAACCCAGCACACACAACTTAATATCCTGCTGTAATCAACTCTGAAACATGGCTAGATTTGGGAAGAGAGAAACAGATCATCTTCCACTAAACATAACATTCTAGCACATGCTGAAGACTACAAGATCACCGTGCCTTGTGAAGCTGGGACTTCAGTATTAAGCTACAAATGCTAACACCAAGAGGTCTTGTAGTAGAAACATCTGGCTGCTTCAAGAACCAGCAATAAAGACAGAGGGAAAACTTCATCCATCCATAGCTTGCTCCCTACCATATCCTGCCACTACCAATAAAGTGGAATAAAATTACCCTCTCTCTGTATACCTCAAAGATAAACACCTGGCCAAAACTGCTGCCCAACATGGCCTACTGGACTACAAGGTTTTTTTTTTAGAAAAGAAACAATCTTAAACTTTAATAGGTTTAGGCTGAAACTTTATTTTCCAGGAATTTTTTGAAGCCATTCTTATTTACCTTTTAAATGGGAGAGAGGTGGAATAGTACAAGAATTTTGGGAGCAGGGCAGTAGAGAGGAAAAACAAAGAAAGAAAACCAGAGAAAAAAGCCATACACTTATGTAACCCCTAAGTTATTGCATGCTCGTAGTCCTTTCTCTCAAGAGCATCCTCACCTCATACTTCAGGGCAAAATACAAAACCTGCTCTGCCTCTCTAACAGACTCAGGAATAATTATAATACCTGGAGATATCACAATTCTCCCATGCAAAATAAAAGCTTGTTACAACTCTTCCTTCTGCTACAGCCTGTTTCCTAACCCCAAGCATGCTCCAGCCTAAGGAGCTGAATGAGATATTCCCTGTACTTAGAGCGCCCGTATGTTCCAGATTGGACTGAATACAAGTACTAAAGGCAAATAAGAACTACAGGCAAATAAACATGTATCTGTTCTGCCCCCAGCAGATGAATGACTAAGCAGGCTCTGTTTTCACGCATTTCTAGACATCTCTAAAGTCAGTTTTGATATCAACTTTCACAGCAGGATGTTTCCAGCGGGCAAAAGCTCTAAAGGACATGGTAGGTACTGCCCATCTCAGGATCTCATGGGGGCGACAGTACCTGAGTTCACAGGTAGTTAGATTCTTCTATAAACGCCAGCTGCAGCAAGTGACAGTGAAGACGAGCAGGTCTTTCTTCCTCAGGCCTTACCTGAAGGAGCTGAATTTGCACATACTGTGCTCCAGTGGCAGGGTCCCTTATTGTCAGCCCTCCGTTTGGTAGAACAACGTTGCCACCCAACCGGCTACCAGGAAGGGATGACGAAAGGTTGGTAGGACTCACTTTACCACCCTTGCTTTTCCTCTGACCGGAGCCAGATGCCCCTAAAAACAATAATTTTAAGATTTAAATTGTCAGAAATTTGCCACGGTTTCTTGCCAAAATTTTTCAGCTTCCTGTCATTATTTACACTGTACCACTAATTAACACTACAGAGCAAATGCACCATCTGCTAACTAGACAGTTGCCCAGACTGCACTCATGAACTCCAAATGCTGACTGAGCAGTCGTCCTTTGCAATAATGGCATTCAAACCATAGCACAAATTGCTGGGCTTAGGGCTCTCCCTTCTGGTAACATCGAAGCACCAGCCTATTTGTGGAGTTAAAAGAACTGGGAAATGAGATTGCATTTTCTATTTCAGATTTTGCAACTCATTTCCTGACTAGTCACATGAATTGTTTTTGCAAACTGTAAATTAAAGAGCACTATGAAGCTCATCTATTTCCAGAAATATTTCCAAGACTACTAGAGGGAAGAGGCTGCCGAAGTACAAAACCACTACCACTCATGACCCTGGTGGCTAAACACATACACAGAAACTTTACAAGCAACTCTTCTTTAAGCCATTTGCTTTTACTCTACATCATCATCTGTCTTACTGAACAAACTCGGAACACTGAAGTGAGCACAAACCCTAAACAGATCCCCAAACAAAGCTGGCTCTTGACCAGCACCTGCAGGACCCAGGCACTTCAAGCCCACCTATCCCTGAACTGACAGGATAACCTCCAAACGGAGAAGTTCCAAACTGAACAAGATGAGCTTGATGAACAACCATTTGTCAATTAAGTTTTGTTCTGAGATTTCCCAGCAACTATTTCCCCTTTCCTTTTTAAAGTTTAAATTTAAATACTCTTTATTTTAAATAGTTCCTTTCATCAACCTCGATATTGAAGCTGGATTATCCAAGAAACTCATATGTAAATGTCTTTTTCAGTCAAAAACAAGACAAACCAGTCTCACAAGCTGGAAATCAGAAACACAACCAGAACAAATGCAGGGCTACAATAGCTGTTTCAGTAACCCACCTATACCACGTGTGCAGTTCTATTAATTTACAATAAACCAAACAGGGTATTTAGAAAACACGCTCTCACTCCTGTTCCCATTCCGCTGCCCTAAACACTAAACAACTGTATTTACCACATTTTACAGAAGGAATGCTTCTCACCTGTGCTGCTCCCATTCCCTTTTTGTTTCCGTTTCTTGGCTAACTGAATGGCTCTGTAGTCTGTTCTCGCAGAACCACCGCTTTCCTAGCAAAAACAGAAACCCACACAAGTTAGGATAGGAAGGTTGTGAATGCAAGAACAAACCAACAGCAGCCTAGCGGGCTCCCAGTTGTGATTACCTTTCATATTACAAACACTAAATTCAATTTTCTAACTTTTTTTTGATTAACATTTCAGCAAATTCCCTGCATGCACTTGCAAAATTAGCTCCATATCTGTAAGCATCCAGATTTTAATAGGGCAAGCACTGTGACAGAGGAAATGTTTTGCACTGTAAACAGAGCTACATAAAGCAGCAGGAAGAGTATTGTAAAGCAAAAGAGAAGGGGATTTAAAAGAGCTCTATGGGGATGAGGACTGAGATGAAAATGTTTCAGTTACTCTCATGAATACATAGGAGACAAATCATATTTTCTTGTATCTGAGTTTTCTTATAAACTCCATTTCATCCTCACAGGGATGCACTTTATATATGTGGGGTTTTTTTAATCCCTTACTTTCAAATCTGCTCCCTTCACTTTCCCCACCAAAATTCAATTTCTTAAATGGTAACATACTCCTGATGACATACTCTTCAACAAAATGTTTTACATCCTTCATCAGAAAAGCCAGAAAATATTATCAGCGAAACAGCACACAGGTCTGCCCATGAGGTATATGCAGCAATAGATACTATCAAAGTTAGGGTATCTGAGTCACCTCTGGGTAATGAACAGAGTTACTGCATACCAAAAATGAGCTGCCAGTTACTGTGCTGAGATCCATTTCTTTCTGAGCACTGTAGCTTCCTGGAGGGTTGGAGAAAACAAACTGAGTCACTACTTTGCTGCCCTCTTGTTGACCAACAACGTCCGAGCTGGGGAGCAAATTGCGTTCAGCTTTAGTCGGCGTCAGTAACTCAGGCACATTGGCACCACCGAGGCTACTAGAAGGAGTCAAAGTGGCCGTGTCAATCGTTAAATTATTGCTGGACGTCAAACCGTGCACGTCTTGGCTGGGATTCCTCACCGACAGGGACGCCAGCGAGCCCAAGGCCTCTGCGTTGACGGTCTGCACATCATCCAGATTTAAAGTGCTTTGCTGCAGAACCGTTGCGCCGGTTCCCAGCAGGAGAGAACTGTCCAGGCTCTGCTGCATATCGCTGCTGGCCACCAAGATCAAGGGATCGACCGCCTGGCTTAAAGAGCTGTTGCTCACGGGCAGGTTTCCTCCGAGCGTCGAGCCCACAGAAGCGACGTCTATCGTGACAATGCCAGAGTTCACGAGCGCCATGTCCGGCGCAATCCCAGAATTGTTGCTGGACACGTTGGAGAACAGGGATACAAGGTCTATGTTGCTGAGATCACTTTGGGCTGGACTGGTGAGTTCACTGCTTGGTGTGAGGGAGCTGGTTGCTTCAAGCTGAGTTAAGAGATCTGGAAGGGAATATGGAGGAGAACAGATTTTGGACACCTTTAATCGCTACGTCAAAGAGAAAATGCTACCACTTTTCAGGAGCAGGAATTCAGATGTGGAGCTATAGAAACAGAAACAAAGGAAAATAGAAAAGCACCTGTCAAAAGGTAATACTAAAGCAGTCCAGACTACATTAGGGTTTAGAAGAGTGGGAAGAGAATTGCATTTAGTCCTTCCTTACATTTTACAGGTGACAAGAAGAATGACAAGCTCCACTTCACTGAAAAAATCCAGTTTCTGAATCAAAACAGGTCAAGCTCGACTCTCACTTTTTGACACTCAGTTTCAGATCCCATTGATAATTTTAGTGGTGAAAAATAACTCGTCTTGAATATTTTGCCATTCATATCAGTAGTGTTAGGATTTCACCATCAGTAAATACACTTTTTATTTAAGAAAACATTCAGTTTTACCACTGCTCCTTCCCATAGGTTTAGTAAATACTTACCTGGGCTGAAGTTGTGCTGTTTTACCATATGTGTTTTCATGCTGTGTTTGGAAGTAAACAATTTATTACAGCTGGACACAGGGCAGCGAGTCTTTAATGAGTCCACATCTTGAAGATGCTTTTTGGAGTGAATATACAGACTACTTCGTGCTGAGAATTTTGCACAACAGCCTGCAAGAAGACAGATGACTTTAAAAACTCACTTTCCTATGCTGTTAATCTGACATCAATATTAGCGTCCTAACAAATCAAAGTAGCTCTGAAGATCTCTATTTGCTATTTCGCAGTATCCAGGTATGCATTCTATAGTAATTAGAGGAATCGGACGAAAGTCAAATCTACATTTCCTTGTTTCATACCCAGGATAAGTCAGTGGATAGAATAGCTCAACAACTCATTTCTGATAGCAAGAAACTCGAGTAAATAACTCAGCAAAATGGACAACATTTTCCTATTACGCTATCTGAAATGAAAAGATTTTTATGATGACTGCTTGCAAAATAATTTTTTTAAAAAATGGAAACACAATCACTTGGTGGAGCTGCTGCTTTACTTTACTTTCCATGAATGAAGTGAAAAAGCTGAGCTACAGAAACTGAGCATCAGAACTCAGATATTCCAGAATAAAGCAGCTTTGTTCATCGTAATGAAGGAAAACAAACAAACAAAACACTGTTTCCTTAACATCCCACGAATTTGAGAGTGGTCACCCAATCCGTTATACATCATTCATTTAGTTTTAAATCTTCAGATTCCATTAAAAGAGTCACTCCAAACTGATGAAAATGAAATATGAATAAAAAAAATTAATACCTTCTACTGGACACTCAAATGGTTTTGTACCAAGGTGAGTTATACTGTGGCCTTTCAAGTGTTCTGCTCTTGTGAAGGACTTCCCGCAGCCTTCTACTGGACACGTAAACCTCCTGTCATCTTCGTGTTTCCTACAAGGGAGGGAAATGACCATTGGCAAGTTTAAATCAACTGCTTAAATGTTGTAAGGAAAAGAAAACAAAAACACAGAAACTAGCAGCAAGGAACGATCCTATGAACAGAGTAATGAGAAAAGGCTACCTTTTATGTCTCAGCAGCTTGGACATACTGGTGAAAGACCAGCCACAGCCTTCGAAGTCGCAGATAAAAGGCCTTTCACCTAAAGCAAAGAAAGGTTACATTAATAATTTAACATCAAAATCCACACTGCTGTAGGAAGACCTCAAAAGTTGATTAAACTGAATTATTTCAAGACAGCAAGATGACTGAACCACCTTCTCACGGTTCTTCTAGATTTTCTGTTATCTTCAGCCAGCACAATCCATCCTATCTTTTCATATTTGTTTTCTATAAACTCATCCTTCTCTGTGTTCTCGCAAGGTTTCTTTCCCAATAACCCACAACTATTTTGAAGATGCTTCAATAATCAATACCAGCATTACTTAAAACAGAAACTGGACCAAAACGTTTTCCCTGATTCTGTTTCCTGGACAGGAAGCTCCCTGGTCTAGTTTTCATCATTTCTTTGGTCTTTAAGACTTTTCCAAAAGTCAGTGGAGCAGCACTGCCAGGCCACAAAACCAGGTGAAAACTCAAACCTGACCGGAGTGCACACAGTTGTCTTTAAAGCACCAAAGGTTCAACTGCAGTTTAATGAGGGTCCTTACAAATCAAAGGGGCCTCCTGGAGTTGAACTGTACCTTCCTGCTCTTCCAAATCGCTATATATTTCACATGTTCTGTTAATTTTCTATCTTTTCTGGGAGGGAGCAAGATTAGGACCTTCATTCCAGTGAGGCACTACTTCTAATGACTACAAGACTTTGGGAAAGGTGCTGATCCAGCGGGACATCTTTCCTGCACACGGTTCCTATGCCACAGGACAGAGCTTTGCACTCCTTGTGGATTCTGTGGGTTCCCATTCCCGCTCCCAGATCCAAGCGGACACGTTTGGAGGGCGCGCGGACAACGCGCGTCACCCCCATGTCCACCAGGCCGCCCCGGACCATACCTGTGTGGCTCCTCATGTGGATCTTGAGGCGGCAGGCCTTGTCGTACTGCTTGTTGCAGCCGGGGAAGGAGCAGGAGAACTGCTCCTGCTCCCTGAAGTGGGCTCGGTTGTGCGAGAAGAGGGCGCTCACCGTGATGAACGTCCTCTCACAGCCTAGGGACGGCGGGGAGAGAGAAGGGGGGCACGTGAGCGGGGCGCGGGCGCGGGGCAGCGGCCGGGGCGGGCGCCGCTCACCGGGGTAGTCGCAGCGGAAGGGCCGCTCGGGCTCCAGGTGGCTGCGGCGGCGGTGGGCGGCGAGGCGGGCGGCGCTGGGGAAGCGCTGCCCGCACGCCTCGCACTTGTGCGCCGCCTCCTGCTCGTGCGCGCGGCTGTGGGCGCGCAGGTTGTAGACGGTGGTGAAGCGCTTGGCGCAGCCCGGCGCGGCGCACGCGAACGGCCGCAGCTTGTCGTGCGAGTGCAGGTGGCGCCGCAGCTTGTAGGCCGTGGCGAAGGACCAGGCGCAGCCGGGCACCGGGCAGCCGAAGGGCCGCGCCGCCGCCGCCGCGCGCCCGCCGCCGCCCTCCTCCTCGTCCTCCTCCCCGGCGCCGTGCGCCGCGA